GTTTATAGGCTTGCCCTTTATGAAGCGAAAGTGGATGCTTATACTTGCCTTCCATTATTATTGAATACGTTTTCCAGGTCGTTACCAAAATGCCCGATAATTTGCATAAATAATGCACCTCTAATCACGAATTTATCCAATGAAAGGCTGCGTTTGCCGCTATCGCTTAATCGTATGCTAATTCCCGACAATTTTTTTTATTAAACTTTGATTGGACGCCGCAGGATCGATCGGCATCGATCAACATCCAGTATAAAATTTTAGAGCTATTAGAAAGAAAAAAGCAGTAAAAAAAGCGCTGTGAAAGTTTAAGAAACGCCGCTGTCTCGACTTATTGTAACAAATTCATTAACATAAACTTTACGAGCTTTTAATTGTAGAAATAAAATAAAAACAAATAATTACTTATGACACAATCACAAAATGGAAATTTACGATTATTTTCATGTACCTACAAAAAAAAGAACGGCCGACTGGAATAAATAAATAGAAGCGAGAAAGAGCAGTTCGAATGTATTAGATAAACGTTATGTTTATGGCTAATACAATTTTTTTATTGAAATAAAAGTTTTATTGCTCGAGTATCGGGCCATAAAACGATAGCGGATATATGGAGGTATATCCTTAAGAGAATATTCAAACATAAAAACAGTTTAGTGGGTACTTAGATTAAGGAGATTATGACTTAGTACCCACAAAGTTACGGAAAACATAATTTTATGTGATTCTATGTAATTACACACACACATAAACTCTGTGTAATTAGGTTAATTCATAATTGGATCATATACGGGAAGTTATTCTATTAAGTACAAAACTTTTTTTCCTGTAATTGCTCGAGTAGGTACGGTCGTAATGGTAGTTATCTATTTGAAGGTTAGCTATTACAACCCTCTGTAATTGCCATAAAAACGACAAAAACAAATACCTTATTGTAAGTGCCCGATAAAGACCGGAATACAACGTTCTTCTCTCCGTTTTACAAGGTACCATAAATTATTTTTACATGTCAGTATAAATTTATAGGCCGTACTAACGGCAGGTGAATTCTAGAAGGACCCGACGGTCAGTTGCACTGATGATGGTAAAGTACCTACTGGCCGAGGGCATTTCGATACCCAGCGGGACACCGTTCGCTTTGAATTCGTTTTCTGCGAAAAACCACTAAGAGTTGCGTTTTTTTTTGTTGGAATCCCTCTAGGAACGAGCTTTTTAAATAAACTACGTTTTACCACAATACCGAATTTCGACGTGGAATGACTTACGAGTTTGGTATTTCCACATTAGATGACCACCAGACGACAACAAACTATTTTCAGAAAAATTTGAAATACATATATAAAAGCAAAACGTTAACGTGTTCTTAAGTAAAAAAATTGCTGTTATTCGTAAAAAAATATTTTTATTTTTATACTTATTTTGCTGGTTGGGCTTTCTTCCGCGAATCAATCACGCGAAATTGCGCTCTGAAAAGCAATTTTTTGAATTAGCGACCGTACAAAGGAACAATTAAATTTGAATAACAACTCGGACCCGAGTTAAATGCACCAAATAAATAGGTGCACGCCGCACTAAAAACAATTCCTTTAATTAAACGACACAAACAGCGTCGTTAAAGACAATCCAGTCGGCTGGGTTGGAAGAACATCGCCTTCGACTGTTTTCTTGCTGGCGGAGCCCGCTAGACGTACCTTCTCGAAATTATCGAAGGGGACATTCGTGCATGCGAGTTTTCAATTAAATTATATGCGACTTGTTTATTCTAACCAAACAACAGAAATAAATTTGTAACGTTGTAAAAAAATCAATAAGGGTAGAGGTAGTGTGTAATTAAAACCAATGGGGGCAACAATTCATTAGCAAGTACCTTGCTAAAAATTAACTACAGATGTATCCATTTAGTTTGAAATATTTTTTTGCGGATAAAATTAGTTGGAACGTATTAATTTATTGGTCGTCGATGTTTGTATGAAATTAAACCGACGGTAATAGTACAAATGTATAGTAATTTAAGTAAGTTGGCAAAAAGTAATTAGTGCGTTATTAATAATGCAACGGTGCGAATCCAATTTTTACATTTTACATTAACACGCAGTAACTGATTAATATTATAATACAATTTAATTTACATGCTAACTATTAATGAAATAATTGAAGCGTTTCGGAATTAATTTACAATAAATTTTAATTATCAACAGAAGCGTTGACGTTGATTTTTCGCCAAAAAAATGTAGGTATTTATCATAAGCGCCCACACGACAGGGCTTTTCGGTGCCGATTTCCCCGTAAAAATTGTTATTCGGGGTGGTTGCGGTCCAGCTTGACATGAAAGTTAGTTAAAAACTGGGCGAATAATAGCCGGTGGAAAGGGGCTCATCTGCCACAAGGGCATAATTACGCACGCGATTGTTTAACTGGCGTTTTGGTAACGTTTAACGGCTCTCTCTTCCCCAGACGTTGCCGAATTTCTTCGGAAATCTTAGATATACTTCCTTACACAAATATTAAGTTTTTCTGAATCGAAATTAAAGTAGAAATTAAACTGTTATGTATATATTTGCGTGAAAGTTCGTGACTGTATAAAATATGCAACATAGTAGGTAATTTTCCCTACCAAATTGATTTAACATTGCATGTTTAAGCGATGTCATTAAAATCGCACATATAACACTTTCGAATAACCTCTTGATAACGAAGCTAGAGGGGCATTGTTCCCTTCGAATTTCTCGTCGAGAAGACACCACAGGCGCGTACGATAATAACGATAATTACAAGAATAATAAAAGGTTCGTTATCTTCTAGAATTTAATACGGCAACTCGTATTTCATGCAACAATCGAAGGATAATAAATTCCTTTTAGGCGAGCGCTTGGCAACAACGTCCCGGGTTGCCGTTCGGGCAGCATCTGCACAGCATATGTAATCTAATCCCTAACATTACAACGTCTAGCACTTATCTTCATCGAAAAAAACCACATGTTTACTCTAGCTTCAATTAGTACGAGTCCTTAATATGAGCTTCGCATTATTTATTAATATAAAAATAAATAAAATCTTAACCGACCTAAAGGCTTTTATGGCTCGTGATGTTGACAGTTTTATTGAAGAGCCAATTTCTGATAGTGTAATAAATCTTCTCGGATAAACAGTCCAATATGGAATTTACTTTCTTCATTGTGTTATTACATCTACATTAATTTTTTTCTATAAATGTAGATAAATTTGTGGTAGGTAACTGTTTCATATGTATGTATAGATATAACAGTTGTTGGTCGCTTCATAACCCAGTTGTAAGGATTTTTCCGCGGCCGCGAAAGAAACCGAAGTTACAGAGCCAACATACAAATTGAATTTATATTCATTACGGCCTATTTGAATCGGTATTCGTGAAGGCTAATTGAAAAGTGGATAAAAACTCGATGGCGTCCGTTAGTGTATGTTGGCCGAGTGCATGCGAAGCCTGTTATTTATTAATAAGTGTTTTGTATGTGTTTTCTCGAACCGGTTTACAAAAATGCCTCGATTGCTTTCAATGATTTCAATTAGAGTGATGTTTCCCATCCGACACCGGCCTTTGCGAATGTCGCTTTACATAGTTTTCGTACCGACTTTTACTTAATCACACACCAGATGATTTTACTAAGGATTTCATCTGCACTAATCAGCTATTCGCTTATTACTAATATGTTCATATCTATTTTGTTAATTTTTAGTATAATATACATTACGAGCTTTCAGTAAAGTATCAATCATTTTAGAGCTGGGTATTTATGTATGTATGTATAAGTAAGTTACTTAGAAATAAATTCACAATCAGAGGTGTTATTTTGCTCCTTGTACTTTACATACTTGCTATAATACAATTGCATATGTATGTAAATAAATAACTATTAGATATGTATTTGTATTATTATTAGTTTAAAAACATTACGTGACGTATTATTTGTGAAATAAATGTTATCTCTAAGAATAACGTTTACCCTATCGATAAAAACAACAAATTGTTTGAAAAATATGAAAATAAAAATGTTAAAAATCAGCACGTAATTATGTTTTTAATTAAACACAAAAGTATAAATGGTAGGCTAATAATAGATTATTTAAAATAAGAAAAGATGCCTGTGGTACATACCTACTCGTATATAAGATAATTAGATAATTTGAGTATAATAAAAAAATCTATTATCCGCATAGCTTTTATAATTCCTTTAATAAATATAAAACCCTTCGGTAATTGCTACCTATAACTCGAGAGTTAAAAGTTTCCCGGCAATTTAGACTTTAAAATAGCCTTCAATTAGAGGCCTTTCGTGTGTATATCAGCGGTGGCATATATGCCGATTGTGCGTCGTTCTCTAATTCCAATGACATCCGAAATTATATATTTTTAAGTTGTCCTCAAGTTGTCATTTTCGAATCGACTTTACACCTTGGTTTATAAAATGCCTATAATTAATATAAAAAGCGGCAGGCACGTGGATTTTCGGGCTTTTTGGGCGGTAACAACCACTGTGTAATTACCCAGTACCGAAAAGGTCCACCTTATCGAAGATATCCGATCGGGCTTCCTCAGTTTTTCGTAATATTATTACTTTAGAGCATCAAAATGATAGGTTACGTCGGGGACGTGCTGCTTTTTTTACCGATTTTATTAAAACCTTAAAAAACTACTGGTCGCGCTACCATCGTTTAATAATACTCGACGTGTAGATCCGTGATTATGATTATATCGTCGTTAACCTTCGTAAAAAATTGCCGGTAGGATGGATGGTAGCATGAAAATATTAGAGACAGGTTCTTCAATGGATTATCACATAAAATTATAATCTAATTTTACTCGTTTTTTTAATAAGAGTTTATTGACGAATAATTGTTCTGTAAAACGGTCTTTTTATGATACACTTTTATAAACCTGATGCTACCTTTATAATTTAATAACAATTTATGAAAAATTATTCATGTTAATTAGCTGGATATTAATTTGTTTTTTTTGTTTACAGATACGACAAGAAAAACCTTATTATATAGCAGATCCAGAAGTAGACTCATTAGTAAGTATACATTCCCTTTCATTATTATTAAAATTTTGCTGCATAAAATTTTTTCACTGAAGTGCTTTATGGTAGATTCACCATTACTGTTGATGATGGTAACATTTAATTTTGCTCTCCGACATCGGTACATTCGTGTTACCAAATTCAGGCACACATTCATTGTATGCTAATGAATCTATTAATTATAAACAAAAAACTACTAATTACCAACACCATCTTATGTGATTAACATCTTTCGCATTAAGCGAGACGATTAACTATAACTAAAAAATTCCCGAATGGTACTTTAAAAACAAAGAGAACTCGATGGCTAATGAAACTACAAAAATGCATTTGTATAGTCCTTTGTGCATATAATTTTCTTTAGTTATAAGCAAGTTTTTTAGCAAGTTTTGCTAAACTTTTACAAATACTTTCTTATGTATAAGTTATAGAGATAATTGTCGCCACCCATGTTTGTATATATTTCGTAAGCGCTATTATTTGTTTATCGGTTTTTACTGTTGACAATAAAAGCGTGTCTTACCAAGCAATTATTAAATAATTACATTCAATTATGATTATGTATCGAAACGGGGATATCAGTAGCAATTTACCAAACGCCAATAAATCTTGTACATACTTAAACAGAAAATAATAGATATTAGAGGAAAGAGTGACTACCGAACACTACGCTAATTTGGTGTAATTTATTCCTTTTTCTGTAATGTATTCAAGCATTTATCATTTGACCAGTAATTACTTAATACGCTTATAAATAATACAGAATATTCATTGGAGTATCTAATGCTTCCGTGGCAATTGACATAAATTTTCGGCTTTCAAATAAATATTTAAACAACTTCCTATACCAGGGCTATGCGATAAATTAAAAATCCACTAACCTATATTTTATAACAATTTTAATTCTTTTATTATAAAGTAAATATTATTGTTATATTTACGAATCTAAACGTTATCTGCAAATTGTTATAAAAAATCGAATAACTGAAATCAATCACAATAAATAATTCTTTCATCGATTATCTCGGCAATTCCAATTTTTCTCCAATAAATATTAATAAACGCAAACGATATAAAATCGGACAAAGGTTTTATTTATTCCGCGAGACATTAAAATTTCGTTACAACCGTTTCAAGTATGCCATGATATCGCAACATGGGACCACCCATGGGTACTTCGGAGGTCGCAGGTCGCGTAAAACGAACCATAACCCGGTACCATAACGTGGTACCGCTGGGTGTGGTACCTTCGGCTGCCAACGCTCGATTTATTATACCGTTGGGCCCAATGATTCTATTGCGAAACGCTCAAATTCGACGTTAACGCCACCGGTCATTAAAACGTCGCACGGTTTAAGGTGATTTTTATGGAACATATCGGACGCTCGTAATGATTCCTATGTAACAGAGTAACGGTTTCGATGGTCGTTTCATCTCGCACACTCCTACTCTAGCTAGACTGTAATTTGGTAATTCAGTCCGGAAAGCAGTGATTTATCTAATAACTCCAGGTCTCATTGTTACAAGTAGCTGTAATCGCGGTTAATGGCTTTCTTTTCGACCCACGAGGTGGGACTCCGGCTCCCATTTGATTGGGCCTTTTGCCCGCTTTTTTGTTTCTTTACTTACATCAGATTTACCGCTAATGAATTATGTCTGAAATGAAATTATTATTGAGACTTACTGCCGATTTTAAAATGAGGATAAAGGATATGTTTTTATGTAATTACACATAATGTGAATCAAAGTTTGTACCGTGTTATCTAAACAAATTAAATTTAAACACATAATTACCCGTTGTGGTTAATTAGAAAGCTCTTCTCATGTGCATATCTGCTGGCAACAATAGAGCAATTCCCGTTTACCCCTCTACAAGTAGATACAGCGCCAGGCCGAAATCCCTGAAACAGAAAATATCGCTAGATGGCAGGATGTCCGTTATCTTTCATCTGCAGCAGGAACCCCGTAGCAGGAGCAGCGGCACGTTCGCGCTGCAGACTGCAAACAATCGGAGTGTGCAACAGAATCATTACACACACACACATACACATATACACTCGTGACGGGGGTGAAACAACAACCAGCAAACAATGGCCCTTTTCTCTGGCGCACTAGACTTTCGCTCGCGTTGCCCATTGTGTTTTAATCTCCGCTTGATGTAAAATTCGCGGTATGAGACAATCGCGAGGAGGAAGCGGATTTTGCGGGAAACGGATTTTTGTCGAGGCGCGTTACTCAGAACATTAATTAGCCTTCACCTTTATAATGAATATTTGAAGTATCCGTTTTATGGAAAAATAATCTCGAAGTCGATTTGGAGAACATTTTGAGGTTCCTTTACTTAAACGCCGACCAGTTTCGAAACAAATTGCCATCGTCTCTGCCGAGAGCCGTTTTTAAATTAAGGACGTAGTTAACAGTCTGATGTAACATATTTAAACGAATCCATTAGGATTGTAACAAATGATAGAAATAATGGTATTCATTAGGGGAAGATAAAATTATCGATTTGTCCTCCTTCGGTCGAACGTCAATTTTTTTTTGCTTTTATTTACATTAATTTTTTTATTAGCTCCATTTGGTTGGCACGAGATTTATTCTGTTTATGTTTTTACTGTTGCATTTGTATCCCCATTAAAAACGCTGTTTGCAGTATAAACTGCAGATTGTAAAAAGAGAAATTTTTGATGCGTTAAAATTAAACAAGAATTACTACATGATTAGGCATTTTTCATTGTAGGTATATAAAATAACAAATAATTTTTATTAGCTTCTATTGCAAACATTAATATTATCTAATACTTTAATTTTATATTCTAATCTAGATATTTTTGTTCCCTCGTGCATCATTCCAGCCATTCCAGCTTCTATTAATCATATAACAACATATTTTGGGTAATCTTTTTATTATTCTTGTAAGTTGACTTCCCTTATTTTTCTATTACTAATAGTTTTATCACACCCAATTTTCTTTACCATATGTTTCCTAACCACCTCCACGTTTATTTTTTTACAAGCCACTTCTATGTATAGAACTCCATTTATATACAAAATTTCCTTAATTATTTCCTTCGCAACGTTTTTTATTCCTGCCAAACCTTCAACGTTAAAGCGGGTGTAAAAAATGACCACAATTCGGGCTTTTCATATTCAAATTCATCCGCGCTGAAACCCTTTTTTTGAGAAATGGCCGGACGAGATTGTGAATTTGTCGCAGTTGTTGCATGTCGATTGGATGTTTTTATCGAAAATAACGGCCGTTTGATTAGATATGCGTGATACAACTTAATTTTTTAAACACGACAGGGTCCCGTCGAGGGGTCAGCCGCAATCTTACTCACGATACGTGCATTTTCTTCCTACAGGGCGCGTTGGCGAGTCAAGAGGAATCCGAAAGGTCCGCTCGATAGCGTGAGATTTTCGAACTTACGAACGGTTTTTGGAATGTTATTGTATCTTTAGAGTGGCCCGAACGTAGCGAATCGTGAATGCCAATGTATATCCTGCAATAAAACCATAAATTTCAGTTGTCACGTTTGGTTATAACGTTAAATTTAATTAAAAATCAACCCCTTCGCCGTTGAAAGCCATTAAAAACAATTTTCGACCGAGCGATGTCTTCTCCGAGGGGCGATAAATCCATAAATAATAATTCGAGGAGGGATCTGTTACTCGTAAAGCGGCCAAAAAGTGCTCTAATCGGATTCGAATTTAATAATTTCCAGAAATACGCCTCTGCATACAGGACGGCTTTATTTACATGGGATATCGGACATCGAGCCGCTTATGGAACAAGGTCACGTGACCGCTTTTTGCCGAGCCGGTCTCATAAAAAAATTAAAAACAAACCGAAAATATAAATGTATCTTTGTTTTGAAAGAACGGGCGCATCCTTCTGAAATGACCAGCAGTTTGTGTTCCTTTTTTTCGGAGAAACAGATTGCTCCGGTGTCCCGTGCAGATAGCTAGTTGAATTGCTAATGCAGTTTCGATATATTTAAATTATTAATGAGCGGAAATTTAATTTAGTCCGGTTAAAAAAACGGATCGTTTTTGACGTTCGGCTACCATCGAATTTTATTTAAATTTCCTTCTGGACGCACGAAAGGTTGTAATAAGTTAATAACCTAAGTGTTGAATGCAGGCGAGCCGAATAATCGAATTATATTCGTTCGTACATAACTAGTAAAATTCCGATTCGGTAGAAAAAATATCCATCAGAATGTCATAGAGTGGAAACCGGTCAAAGTTCTTCGGTGACCTCCGGAAGATTGGGCGAATGACATGGAAATGTTATTAACGCTAATCTCTTAATCTTTCCGAGATTGCCTGTAATTTCTACGACTATTTAGTGAGGAAAAAATGTGGGAAATATTGGTGAAACCAACTGTGAAGCAATCCAAAGATGGAATCTACAAAATACTTTTTGTTAGTATAAACAAAGTTGTAAATTTTTTACTCACGATTAAGTAATAACAAAATTATAAGTAAATGGTTACATTTGAACAAAAAGAAAAACATTTTTTTTCATTTTGTAGGTACTTATATACTTAGGAAGATTAATCTAAATTTTGAGCTACTTAAAACAATTTAATCCAGTTTTTCATCCATCCAAGTTCCCACATTATACTAATAAATAATGGAGGAGAATACCAATTAATATTTATCTAGGCTCTCTCTCCGTGCATCCATGTCGTTAGAGTCGAATTAAATTTCGTTAAAAAATACTTAACATTTACCATTCAGGGTTATAGATTCCCGTTCTCTAGAATCGTGAGTGATCGAAGTTTTCTCATGGTAAGCTAGATGTGTTTCGATTTTTCGATTTCATGATCGAGGCCAGTGCTGGCACGATCGTTGTGTACGCGATATGTAAAATAGTTTCGACACATTGTAAGTACATACGTTTTCTAGAAGAACTTATTCGCTCGCATTCGAATTATCCGGCCAGCGCTAACGAGCTTATTTCGAAATCGATATAGAAATGTACATGTAACAAACTCATTGTGGAATGGTCTCAAAATCGCTTTTAATCATCGAGGAGATAATTAAATTTACCTATTCTTTGTTGTTTCAGATGGTACAAGCAATTCAGGTCTTACGGTTTCACCTATTGGAATTAGAAAAGGTATGTAATTCTCTCAATTTATTCTCGCAAAAAAGCTTGTAACAATAATAATTAAAATAGCTAAAGATAGTTGTGGTAAACATCAGGAAAAGAGATACTATCTTAACGTTTGTTAGAGGAAGTATTTATTAAGCATTCTCGGCATTGTGTTAAGGTTTCTTCAGTTGAATATACCCATTATCAGTGGATTAAGCAATACAGCTCGGGCTGAGAAATATATCGCCTACGAGTTGAGTTGGTAGGTACATGTTAAAAATTTCTGAGATTGCTGTTAAGATCAAAGCTGTTGAGTATTTTAAATTAGTTGATGAATTTTTAATAAATTAACTTTAGCTTATAAAGAAAATAGTAAACATGAGGTTTTTCAAAAGTTGATTAATTAACATTGAACAAATTAATCTAATAAAATGGAATATGTATATTAAACTTATAATTAAAGTACCTATAGGGGTTAAGAACTGGTACATCAGCGCTTTTAATTACTCTTTTTTACAAAGTAAGTGGTACCTACTATTTTCAAGGTGTAAAGGTATTATACAAAGCAGTTCCACCGTAAAATTTTTGGCGGATTCTTATGGCGCAATTTACGGGTTTCGCTTGTGGTTTAAAAAAAGGCTAGAACACAATGAATGTCGTGGTGATTTGCATATGAGAATAGAAATCAAGGCTTTATTCGGACGAGACGTGGGATGCACTCATTCGAAAATCTCGACTATAAAACCACGGGATAATATCTAATGATAGTTCAATTTTTAGGTGTAATTTATATAAGTAATCACTAAGAATATATTCTATTATCCATTAGTTAGATATAAAAAAATACTATTTTGTTGAATTAGTTAGAGAGAAAAAAATGTTAACGAATGAATCAATTGAGAGTTTCCTACTACATGTGAGGTAATAATAATTTTATTCTTTACATCTGGATAAATTTATGTGCGACATTTCGGTCCGAAAATAAAAAAGTCCACCGTCTGGATTCCCGGAATGGGCAAAATATGGGTAGTTAATGATTCTATGTGTATTTTTTTCCGAAGTTAATTCTGTGATTCTCAGTATTAAAGCCGCGATGTAAAAATATGGAAATTGCATGGCATTCTACGCGACTTGATCGTTTTTGCATTTCACATAGCCATTTAAATTGCTAAAAGGGGACACTATCGAGTCTACCTATCTCTTTCTATCTCGTTCGCCGTCTTGCTTTACTTGCGATATTATAATCTTCTTGCTACGTAAATGCATATAACCGGTTGTGTGTGTGTGTGTGAGTTAAAGTTCTGCCGACGGCCATCTTGGATGAGTTGCTCGAAAGGAGAACACCGCAGTAACATTGAATTCAATATATCTGGTGGACAACGCCAATAAAATCATTTTTATACCTTATTTATAAATGCGTGCCTATTAAATTTTTAATACATAATAATTAGTTGAATGTTTTCGATTTTTTGCGCAATAAATTTCTTTAACGACTTTTATTGCAGATTGTTTTGTTTATATATTTTCAGACAACTGATGTTACATAAACGCTGTTAATTTTATTGACATTTTATATGCGAATGCGAAGTTTCCACAATTTATACGGTTATTAAATTTAAACTTTAAAACTTGCTTTTCTACTATCCTCTGGTTGTAGTATTTCTTTAAAACTCATATAACTTGATATGGCGAGATATTTCATTCATTAGGTTACACCAAACTGGTAGAATATTTTAAACATTAATTTGTAATAAACCGTTTCCTATCTAGGCACTTAAACTTTCGTATGCGTGTTGAAAGTGCATAAAAACAAAAATCGGTTATTTAAATAATTGAACATGAAATATAAACAATTTTTTATTAGAATATATATTAAAAAACAGTTGGCGTGTTAATTATATTAATTTAACAAATGCAACTACAACTACTAATATGTACATAATATTCGCAGCAACAATAGGAGAATAAAATGAATAATTCAAACAGTGTTCAGCTTAATGAATATTTTAGAGCTCTCAATAGAAGCAATTCCCAAATTATTATGTTTTACATTATAAAACAAAATTAATAGCGCTATTATTAGATACAAAAAGCACTTTGGTTTTTGTCGTCAGAGAAATAATTGCGACAATTATCGTTATTGACGGTAATTACGGCCTATTTAATATCGGTTCTAAAGTCGTCCATATTGGCATCGGCAAAGGAACGCTCTCATCTCAAATAATGCAGGTAAAAGCGGGGCTATAATATCGCAGCCATGCAAACGAGTCTTATAGCCGCATAGCTCGAGGTGGACAATAACAAAGATAGTTAGTGCCATTGTCTGTACAATCTATCAAAATTCCTATCGCGCCATAATGAACAGCCCATTAGCTGGTCACGACCGCGGACCGGCGATTTTTTATCGACCGTCCGCGCCGATCCATCGACCGGCCATGCATGATTTACCCATAGATGCCGAAGGAGCATCGCCGATGAGAAATCCCGTTGCTTCGGAAAAACCGCAAATACGCCATTTAATAGAGCTATGCGGGGTAGATTGTTTATTTCATTTAATCGACTCGAAATTGAGGCTCGCCCACCAAAAATCCGCGTCCCACTTGCCATCAAACGAATTTTCATAACACCTTCGAAACCAGATCGATTAAGCCGCAGAAAGCGAATAAAATAAGGACAAAGAGTGAGTCATTGCGTCTAGAAGTACCAGTTTTATTTTAGCTAGATTATTTCAACGATTATTTAATTCTCACGTATAGAATTTGTTGGGATCTAATAGTACGTTTGTTTTGCAGGTTCACGAATTATGCGACAACTTCTGCCATAGATATATAAGTTGTTTAAAAGGCAAAATGCCCATAGACCTGGTGATAGACGAAAGGGACTCGGGTAAACCGCCCGAGTTGACCGGCTCGACGAACGGGGACGGCGGCGCCAGAAGTAACGCGGACTCCACATCGCACACGGACGGCGCTAGCACCCCCGATGTCGTAAGTATTTCTTTCATTATTCACCCGGCTCGGTAATTCCCCCGGAATCGCACGTTTTCAACGGTATAACGAACACGCTTTACTCCTTAACAGTAGATCAATTTCGTTGGAAGATTTCGTTAGATTAGAGAGACATATGACTGTGCATTTTATTAGATAGAAAAAAAATATTAATCAGTCTGTTATCAGTTTAATAAGGAATGTTTATCTTCTCTATCTATCAAATTGTAATTTGAGTTTTTACAATGTATTATAAAGTCGCTTCCAATGATTTAGCTGCGTAGATGTACCGCGCGGTAATTATCCGATTTGTAACAAAAGCTGGCCGTGTAACCCATCCGTTCGAATGCGCGTGATCGCCACGAGACTTATCAGAAAAGAGGCCGCTCGGCGAGATGACCGGTAGGTTTCTCCTCCAATGCGCAAGGGTGAAATTCGATCCCCCTTTTCTGGCAATGCGTCAGTCTAAATTGACACCAATTACCAGCAAACCTCCCTGCCTCGGCCTCCCCTGCTTTTCGCAAACAGCCAACGTCTCGAAAATGAGTTAATACACTCTGGATCGGTCGCTCGGCCCCTTCCCCCTTTTTCCAGAAGCGCCGATCGGCTGGATGGGGCACCGTGACTGATGCTTCCTTTCCGGAATTATAATGTATCGAGCACGAATAATTCGTTTCCACAATTTCGAATATCCAACGATTCGACTGGCTACTCTCCTAAATGAGGTGAATTTTGATGACGATGAAGTGGGATGAACCGATTAATTTTCATGTTGATTTCGGGCAAACTTTCAATGTTGATAGATTTAACGGAGCGCGGGTTTTGTTTAGTTTCTGCGATTATTGGGAGTTTTCTTTCGAATTTAAGAGGTGCTCTCATTTGTCATCGAATGTTCGAGTGGCATTTCTGGCGAAAAGATCTTTTGACAATGCACAAAAATAGCAGGACGTTTGGTATGTGGATTGAGTGAAAGTCGGGCTAGAATTTTGGACGCTCGTCAAAATTAAATTAACTAGTTTAAAAACGCCGATATAGACCAGTTAATTTTGGCCCAATGAAATCGAATAAGGCGATAAATCTACTGCACAAAATTCTGGTATATTTTTCGCCCGGTTTGGACATCCTAGCAATCACACCTAATAACCTAAATTCTCATGCGTAATTGAAACATTCCAGTATGCAAAAGAACATTGTTGTGATAATTTACGAGAGAAAATTTTCGAGCGACCATTCGAAGGCACTTAAAGCTCCCGCATTAAGAGCAATTTGCGGCTTTTTTTTTTCGGCCAAACAACCGTCACTTTTACCGGCCTATGCAGACGCTTCGAAGATGCCAATAGCGTCTCTCGCAAACATTTGTCGTCTGCAGTATGCGCAGATATAATTAACAGTCTTATTTATAGTGCAAGGGCAACGATCAACGGTAACTGAGATGATGCGATAGCCGGAGAAACAAACGCGGAGCGCGCTTCATAGAAAATGTCAGTGATTTGTTTCGACGTTTCGACCATTCTTTAACTTGTCACCTATGGCGACGGATGCGAAATTCGAGGAATTTCGTGCGAGATATATGGCGAACGCGGTTATTCATTATCTTAAAGTCACATCATTGCAATGCCTATCAATCGTACGGTTATCAATTGCGAACGAACGAATCCGGTATGATTTATAGCGGTTATCTAATATTCAATAGTTATACGGTGCTAAGAAACGTTTATTCCGTTGCTAGAAAAAAAATATGTAGATTTATGAGCTCATTTTAATAATTATATGCCAGTGTCACTATATTTTAATAATTTTGTATAATTATGCAGTGTAATTTTTGTGCTGGTCTAATTTACTTAGATGACTTTTCATTTGTCGGTAGGTTGCGGTCGTTTGGTGCCCTTTTCGCTTCCATTCCCTTTTCCTCGATACAATTTGCATCCTCCCAAATCACTTAACCGTCGTCTCCGTCGTCGTCGCAGACGTCTGCGTCCCGACGCGGAGCCTTTATTGGCGCATTATCATTTTATTGACTTCAAATAGGTTGTAAAACGCGGAGAGAGCGAGCGCGGGAAGCAATTCGCTCTAAAGGGCCTAATTCAGGAGACGCTGATGGCTTGTAATCGCCCTTAGGAGTTCTTCCCTACTCTCAAACAGGTGGATTTGTTCAATTTACGACGCGGGACCACTCCGGCACTCGATACAGACCTGCGGAACATCTGCTGGCACTTTTTCTTCGCGTTAATTTCGCCTCGACTGCGGGTTTTTATGCTTATTAGCTATTGTCAATATTAGCGTTAAATGGATTCTATCGTTAACAAACTCCTATTTAATCACTTAGCTAGATTTATATACCCGCTCGGTAGTTATGCTGTGTCACTAACAGCTTCTTGATTTAAAAACTTCGACTTGATTCCCACCTTGTAATAGCTCAAAGCGGGTGAATTTGGAGCCTACAAAAGTAACCCAATCTTTTAATACAACAAACAACCCGAAACCATTCGTCGCGTTTATTCTTTTCACTTCCCCCGCCCTCTTTTGTTACTCCCCCGCGCGCTTTTGTTAATCGACGGCCGGCGTTTAAACGGTTAAACTACCCTTTGAAAAAACATCAAACGTGCGTGGTGCGTGCGTGAGCTCCGCCGTATTTCGCAACTCTCTCTCGTTGTTTTCCTCTGGTTGTTGTTTTTTTGTTTAAACGTCAAGACCAGATGGTCTTAATTTGGTTTCTTTGTTCGAAGAGGCGCGGACCAATGACCATTGTACTACAAAAAAATATATAAAAGTAAAAGCGATTGAAGTTTTTGAAAGGTTTTTGATTGAGGTTTTTCGGATCGTGGGCCTACGAGGATATCGGGTTGGTTAGAAAGAGCGGGAAGGGGCCATGTAACCCTGTATACATACGTTGTTCGAATGGGGTGTATAAGTTAATTCGCCGGTCAATAAATAAGTTTTATTGGAATAATTGGGAATATAGTATTTGAATTGTTATTGTTAAATTTTAGTTTCTCTCGATTTTGATTCTAAAACAGATTAATTTCTTACAGGTACATGCATATAAAGAGGAGAAAAAATTATTTATGGAACAGGTAAATTTTGAATTGCGAAAGTTATTTATGTAAAAGTGTGTTTTCTTGAAAGTTTTTACTATTAGTATATCTTTTAGAATGTGTCTTTATTTGATTTGTTTTAATTTTTTGATTAGTAAAGTAGATTTTTTTCTTATCTTTAATTAAAAAAAGGATTAATACAAACGAAAAAAAAAAACTCCTTTTTAAATTCATGTAGCAGTAAATTTATAAACAGCCCCGAAATATCAAACATACATTTGTGGGTATCTAGCGAAATATTGTTAGATAAAAAAATAACTCATTCCATATACATATGTACAATCAACGTTGATTCTGACACGTCACGGGCTGGGGACATTGAAGTACCACAAAACCCCAACCTATCGCGCACCAAATTTATTTAATTTCCTATCCCTAATGGACAACAACCGGCACTTTCGACACATAACAGAGACGGTTTCGATAATTCGACAGCAAATAAATACTTCTGATGCACCAATGAATAATTATCTGCAAAAACCTCTTTAAATTTACAATGCTGGGAAGCTGGAAATTCAATTTTATCCATCCACAATTTTCGCATAAATAGATAATGTAATTTATAATTTGAATAGTTTGATTAAATACGAGTAACTTTGAATGTACAACGCTGTTGGAGGGATATCGATTTCAGGTCGGCTCTGTGAGCCCGATATTGTGCGGGTGTCAAATTTGCTCATGACCTTATACTATTCGGCATGTGGGTAGGCTAATGAAATCACAGCTCGTTCTTAATTCAACTAATTCACATCCGATTGTCGAACGTTAGTGGATCGTCTCGAGGACCCTCGAAATCACAAATAGATCCGGCGAACTTTCGGCTTAACCAGGAAATAACCCATTTAGCGTTTAAAAAAATTATATTATCCTCCTAAAAATACTCACTCCTCTAACACCTATTTGAAATAAAGAGACATCTGACAGAATGTTCAATCAACATTAGTTTCAAAAAGAAGAGTTTTAGAGGGAATTTTTTGTTATAATAGAAGTTATAAATGAATAGTGTGTTAATTAGAATAAAAAAATGGCAAAATGATAATCCAACGAATGCAGAATTACTCACGCTAACTAGACAACAAAAGGCCCTCGAATCGGATGGACTAACTTGATTAGCCGCGAGCCGCACAAAGAAACAGTTTCCCTTCCGTTCCGCGGAAATAATGCGATTGGCGAAATCAAATCAGTCAAATGGCATGGTAATCATTTCACATTTGAATAATTCCGTTCGGAGTATATGGAGTTGATTTAATTCGGGATCGTAGGTGGCGTCGGGGTGTAGCCGAGGAATCGACTCAGAAAGGGCCACCCCCAGTTCACGTAATTAACTTTTAACTAAACGCTAGAAAATGGATAAGTCGTGTTCGGGGGCCACGGAATCGCCTAGTCCATGGGCTAACGGATCAAAATCATACAATAATTTTCCTCAATTTTTTTATTGTTTAATTAGTTTATAGTTTATAACAGAAAATAAATTATAAAGTAGACTAAATTCAAACAGTATTCATTGTGCAATGTAGTCTCACAGTAATTCCTGTTATTTTGAGATTAGTTGGCAGTAAAAAAATAACTGAATTAAGCATTCAATATTATAAAAATAATTATTTAATCTCCTATCCTATTATTTATTGGTGTTGTGTATGCTTTGGCCCATGGACTAAGATCGAGTTGAAACAAATCTAATCTGGAAATCGTTCGAAAATACAAATTAGTGGTCGCCCCGAGGGGATTCGCCCCCCGACGAACGGTCGCATGCAAATGGCAATTGGCTAGTTTTCGACGAACCTAATGCGCATCGCATACATGCAGATTTCATTGGGAAATCAACCCCATCTTTATCCGATTTTCTCGCCTCCGGGACCTGCTCGATTTCCGTTCCGTTTTGTTTGCTTTTTCACCGCCAACTCC